ATAGAAAATAAGTAATGCCTCAAATAGACAGTTCATTATCCCAAGCTAAATTCAAATAAATTCATCAATCTAGGCCCCTAATTAGTTGATTGTACCACATTATAAATGAATAAAAGCCTATTCCCTAAGTCATTTAACAGATTCATTATTAGCTAGCAATTCAATCCCTCGCTCATACCAACATAGCGCGTCATTCAATTCAAACTTGTCATTTGATCTAATGTTCCTGTGTTGACACTATGACATGGGTATGAATCCTACGACACTTGGTGTTGGACCAAAATCATGGAGTTTTTTCACAAATTAAACGGGTCTGAAACAATGCCATGTATCACACGAATACCCAATTCGAGTAACATTATAAACAACAGCCAAAAACTCATACATGATGAAAATCAAGCTAAATTCAGTAAATTTAAAATAAAAACACAAACCAAAAGTAGTAAACACTCAATCCAAACAAACTTAAACATTAATCCCCAACAGAATTCACGACACAAAACGCAAATTAACGGCGATAATAGCATAAAAACAGTAAGAAGAGATGAATGAAACGAAGAAGATAGAAATTAGGGATTACCAAATGGGAGAGAGAATGTGAAGTGAGAGGTGTAAGGACCAGAGAAGTTAGCAGGGCAACCCAGATGAACTTCGCTCATCACCTCCTCATTTTCCGCCATAGATATATTTGCACTTTCGTCCTTGTGTTCTTCCATTCATGTACTAGTTTATGCAATTTTATTGCTGAAACCACCAATATAACCCCTCATATATATCAACTATCAACCTTATAAACTTGTCCTGGAGTATATACGAGTACTTCAATATTGAGTAAAAAAAATACTGATAATTCAGTTTAGCAACAATAATTTATGTGTTAAGAGGTAACTATGATATTGTATATTTTATGATGATGAAGATGGAAGAGAGCAAAAGAGCAATTAGAGAATGTCGGTTTTTCTTCTTACTTCACTAGTTCACAAGATAGTGAACTTATTTATAGGCAAATATTGCCCATAAAGTATGTTACATAATTGTACTTATATACAAATTATTGTCCTAAATATAGCTCATGTGATGAGCTATAAGCTATTGTGCTCCAAACTCATGTGAACTTCATTTGACATTTTCTTAACACTCCTCCTTGAAGTTCGCATGAAATGGAGTATGGGTTGCTTTAAAGAAAAATATTATATGCTTTGAGATACTGCCTCGTTAAAAACCTTGTCAGGAAAAACCCAGTGGGATAAAAACCTGATCGAAGGGAAAAAGAGTGCAGTGCATATAATACTCCTCCTGATTTCAGCATAGATCACGAAGATGTCGCATTCCAATTTTGTGAACCAATTGCTCAAATTTCTTGGAAGGAAGTGATTTGGTGAAAAGGTCGGCAAGATTTTCACAAGACTGAATTTGCTGGATATTTATTTCCTCGTCCTTTTGCAGATCATGTGTGAAGAACAGTTTTGGGGCAATATGTTTCGTTTTATCTCCCTTAATATATCCTTCAGTTACTTGAGCGATACATGTTGTATTGTCTTCAAAGATGATGGTTGGGTCTTCTGTTATTGCGTTCATTCCACACTCCTTTTGGATATTACTGATCATCGACCTCAGCCACACACATTCCCGTCCTGCTTCATAGAGGGCTATCAACTCTGCATGGTTTGATGATGTCGCAGTCAATGTCTGCTTTGTTGATTTCCATGATATTGTAGTGCTGCCATAAGTGAATACATATCCATTTTGTGACTTGGCATTTTGAGGATCTGATAAGTATCCAGCGTCTGCATACCCAATGAGAGCAACATCTTGTTTTGGTTGGTAATATAAACCAAGGTCTCGTGTCCCTCGTAGGTACCGGAGTAAGTGTCGAACTCCCTTCCAATGCCTATATGTTGGTGCATTGTTGTGCCTGGCTAACAAATTCACAGAGAAAGCTATGTCGGGTCTAGTATTGTTAGCTAAGTACATTAAGGCTCCAATTGCACTTAAGTATGGTACTTCTGGACCCAGAATCTCTTCATTTTCTTCTCGGGGTCTGAATGGATCATTTTTCATATTCAAAGAACGAACAACCATTGGGAAGTTGGTTGGGGTTGCTTTGTCCATGAAGAAACGTTTCAAAACTCTTTCTGTATAGTTTGATTAATGGACAAAAATGCCATGACTCAAGTGCTCAATTTGTAGTCCAAGGCAAAATTTAGTTTTCCCAAGGTCTTTCATCTCAAATTCTTTCATCAAGTATTTTGCAGTTTTCTCGAGTTCATTTGGGGTTCCGATGATATTTAAATCATCAACATAAAATGCAATGATAGCGAATCCTGATTGTGATCGCTTTATGAAAACATAGGGACTAACTTGGTTGTTTTTGAATCCTTCTCTCATAAGGTATTCACTCAGACGGTTGTACCACATCCTTCCAGATTGTTTCAATCCATAAAGTGACCTTTTTAGTTTTATGGAAAGCAGTTGTCTAGGCTTGTGGTTTTCTGGTAGTTTTATCCTTCGGGGACTTTCATGTAAATGTCCGTATCGAGTGACCCATACAAATACGCAGTCACTACATCCATTAATCACATTTGCAGTCCTTTTGTGACTGTCAAACTTACCAGAAATCTTAATGTAGTTGCATCAACCACTGGAGAATATGTTTCTTCATAATCAATCCCTGGAATTTGAGAAAATCTTGGGCTACAAGTCTTGCCTTGTATCTAACTATTTCATTTTTCTCATTACGTTTTCTTACAAATACCCATTTGTAGCCAACGGGTTTTACACCTGCTGGTGTAAGAGTTATTTTTCCGAAAACTTCTCGTTTTTCAAGTGACTTCAACTCAGCCAGCATTGCCTCCTTCCACTTTGGCCAATCACTCCTGTGTCGGCATTCTTCCACTGTCCTTGGTTCAACATCATTTTCATCAGACACAATGTCGATTGCGATGGAATTTGCAAATATTTCATCCACGATAACATCTTTCCTATTCCAATGAGTCTTGGTAGAGACGTAATTCATTGAAATTTCATTGTTATCGACGTTTTGAACGTCTTGTTCATTTCCCGTAGGGTTGTCTTCTTGTTCGTCCCCTTTTGGATTATCATCATTTTCTTTACTTTCATCCACATTTGGTCTTTCTTGACCTTCTGACGGGGGAACATTATTAGTCTCATTTTCTATTCCATCCAATCTTTTCAATTTTCTTGGCTTAGAATCTTTTGAACCAAGTGGTCTTCCACGCTTTCTGCGTGCCTGAGATTCATTTTCTATGGCCTTATTACCAGTTGGGATTTCAATACGTGCAGGGGCATTTTCTGCTGGTATATGTGATTTTGTCACCTTCTTTGGGTCTACAAATGCATCAGGCAATTGATTTGCAACACTTTGTAAATGAACAATTTTCTTAACTTCTTGTTCACACATATTTGTTCGTGGGTCTAACATCAACAATTGTGTTGCATTCCAAATAAGTTCTATTTCTTTCTTGTGTGGGTCCACTTTCTCTCCCCCTAAGGCTGGGAATACTGTTTCATTAAAGTGACAGTCGGCAAATCTAGCCGTAAATAAGTCACCAGTCAATGGTTCAAGATATTTAATTATAGATGGGGATTCAAACCCGACATAAATTCCCAGCCTTCTTTGTGGACCCATTTTTGTTTGTTGGGGTGGAGCAATAGGAACATATACAGCACAACCAAAGATTTTTAGATGTGAGATACTTGGTTCTCTACCACAAACAAGTTGTAGTGGTGAGAATTTATGATAAGTTGTAGGTCTCAATCTAATTAGTGCTGCTGCATGTATTATAGCATGTCCCTAAGCAGATGATGGCAATTTTGATCTCATTAATAATGGTCTTGCAATCAATTGTAATCTCTTAATAAGTGATTCAACTAGACCATTTTGTGTATGGACATGAGCTACTGGATGTTCAACATCAATTCCAATTGACATACAATAATCATTAAATGTTTGGGATGTAAATTCCCCAGCATTATCGAGCCTTATTTTCTTTATTGTATGATCTGGGAATTGTGCTCTTAATTTGATAATTTGGGCAAGTAATTTTGCAAAAGCAACATTTCTGCTTGAAAGCAGACTGACATGTGACCATCGTGTGGAAGCATCAATTAAAACCATAAAATATCGAAATGGTCCACATGCCGGATTAATTGGCCCGCAAATATCTCCCTGAATTCTTTCCAAGAATTTTGGAGATTCAGTAGCAATTTTGTTCATAGATGGCCTTATTATTAATTTGCCAAGTGAACATGCAGAGCATGTTAATTCATCTGATCGGGGAATTTTGACATTTCTTATTGAATGTCCAACTGAATGTGCTATTATTCTTTGCATCATCCCAGTTGCTGGATGTCCCAAACGATCATGCCATAAAATAATCAAATGTTTGTCATCTAACTTCTGGTTAGATACCATATTGATTTCCACGGGTCGTATGTTTATACGATATAACCCCGAAGAGTATGCTGGCAATTTCTCATATATATGTTTCTTGCCATGTTTTTCTGCCGTGAGGCATATATACTTTTTTTGATCTGTTGTCATTATTTCTAGATGATAGCCATTTTGGCGTACATCTTTAAAGCTTATGAGATTTCTTCGAGATTTACTCGAATATAAAGCATTATTGATTATTAATTTTGTTCCATTTGGAAGCATTATACAAGCCTTTCCAGATCCTTCAATTAATTTTGCTGACCCGGAGATAGTGTTTACATTTGCCTAAAACAACTTTAGTTGTGAAAAATATTTCCTATCCTTTAAGATAGTGTGTGTTGTTCCACTGTCCAAAAGGCAATGATATTCGAAACCAACTTCGGGTATATCCATATCTTCATAAAATAAATATGAGATTAGTTTAGAATAATATCATACAAACTTTTATTTATGATAGAAATTAAGAGTACATGACTAATCATTTAAAATACATATCAGAAAATTCATTAAAACGTAGTATATATTACATCAGTAGATGGGTTAATTAAGCATTGTTATTTTCTCCAAAGATGAAATCATTCCCAGTTTCAGCATTGTCCATGAAGAAATCGGACACATCAAGGGTAGGACATGGAGCATTTTCTTCATTAACATAATTTGCTTCTGCATTTTTCTCTTTGCCTTTTACAGAAGCCTGGTAAAGGTCTACCAAATGTTTGGCCGTACGACAAGTACGTCCCCAATGTCCTGTCATGCCACATCTGTAACATGTGTCTTTTCCTTTTGAAAGAGTTTGTTTGTGGCTTCCAGATGACTGTCCTTTCTGTTTTTCAAAATTTTTGAAATTACTGTTTCTTTGAAAATTGTTTCTACCACGTCCTCGGCCTCGTACGCGATAATTTCCACGGCCTTTTCCACGGCCATTGTAATTTCCACGTCCACCTCTTCGTGCAGCATTTGCCTCGAGTGGATAAGAACTTGTTGCATTTGCCTCATGATGAGTGGCCAAAGACCCAGTTGGTCTGAGATTATGATTTTTCAACAAAAGGTCGCTATTTTGTTCCGCAACAAGCAATACACTCATTAATTCATTAAATTTCTTAAAACCTCTTTCACGATATTGTTCTTGCAACAGTATGTTGCTTGCATGAAAGGTAGTGAGTGTTTTTTCAATCATTTGTTCATCGGTGACTGGATGATCACAGTATCTCAATATAGATACTATCTCATGTATGGTTGAATTGTAATCTATTACAGATTTGAAATCCTGGAACCGTAAATTTGTCCAGTCAAATAATGTCTTAGGAAGGAGCACCCTTTTGTGGTGTCCAAATCTTTCATTAAGGCAGTCCCATAATTCTTTGGGATCTTCAACCATCATGTACTCAGTTTTAAGGCCTTCATGTAAATGATGCCTTAACAACACTAAGGCTTTTGCCTTATCTTATTCAGTGATAGGTTTTTCAACCGTCATTGCAGAAGAGGTAGCATCAGTTGTTTGACCAGAGGGACTTTTATTTTCTTTAACAGTGTGCTCCAAACCTTGAGCTTTCAAATTCATCATTGCATCCACTTCCCATTCCAGAAATTTCTTTCCAGATAAATCTAAGATGCTGAACTGTCTTTTCATAAGGTCTCCCATTTTAGCTACAACAAATTTTGTGATAATTAGATTATAATAACAAATTATATGTACAACTCACATGTTTAGTTCTTCCATATTTATAATTAAGTTAATAAGACACGTGATAATTAAATTTAATAATAATAAACCATAAATAATATAGTATTTTCTCCCCCTTGGTTTATTATTGTGAGTAATTATATGATTAGACAAAAATTAATCATGTTAGTTGCAAAAAAAACAGCAACACGACAACAATGACAGTAGTAACAATAATTATAATGATAACGGTAATATTATACAATGATGATTAATAACAACAAACAACATAATAAAACAAAAACAAGCTTTTAATATACTAAAACGACAAAATAAGTGAGTTTTACTTATACATAATGACAAAAATTAATATTGCTACTAATAGAACTACAAGTGCCGTAATTAGAAGGAAATATTGTTTTATCTTCCTTAAATCTTCTTCAAAAGTGAAGTTGTGGGTGTTTTGGTTGCCGTCGTCGGGGAACATATCGGAGAAGAAGGGGGTGAAAAAAAAAATCTGTTTTTTAGGTGATTTTTGGATAAAAAGTGGGAAGAGATAAAGGATTTGTGGTGAAATTGGGGGAAAAATCCGTCTTTTATAGAGGTAGGTTTATCCGTTACTGTTCTGTACAACTGTAAAAATATTATATAATAGTCTAACGTACTGGCATAAAATTATGGTCCATATATATATATTTATAATTGTAAAAGGTTATCACACTGGGAATGCAAGCCATAGTGGTCCGAGAGCCCTAATATCTATAAAAGATCATGGGTTCGAAAATGGAAAGAAACACAAAAAAGTATGTAAAAGTAAGAAAAATAATAAGTATAAAAAGGCTGCATCTTTTAGTTAATCTAGTTAATAATATGCATGCAAAGTTACTACTAATTATAATTACTAAAATTAAATTTTACATAGAAGGTGAGTATGTAATATCAACATGTATGAATCAAACATAAACCAAGATACCAACATAAATAAAACAAGGCAAGATAGTAATAAATTCATAAGTAAGGATATTTTTCACCGTTGTTTTGAGATATATGATATAATAAATGTTTGAGTTTCTGGTATAGAGGATCCCAAAATATGGGCAACTATAGAGCATACTCCTCAAAACATTTAGAAGTAGATAGTATTTATTTGTTATAATTTTGAGAAGTAGGTATAAATATACCTGACTAGTAACTGGTGTTGATAACGTGTTAAGAGGTAACTATGATATTGTATATTTTATGATGATGGAGATGGAAGAGAGCAAAAGAGCAATTAGAGAATGTCGGTTTTTCTTCTTACTTCACTAGTTCACAAGATAGTGAACTTATTTATAGGCAAATATTGCCCATAAAGTATGTTACATAATTGTACTTATATACAAATTATTGTCCTAAATATAGCTCATGTGATGAGCTATAAGCTATTGTGCTCCAAACTCATGTGAACTTCATTTGACATTTTCTTAACATTATGTTTAATAAAATACTAGTCTCAAGTAAATATAACACGGGCTATATACCGAAATGATCAAATGACCCAACATTTAGCTTATAAGTAAGCCTTTATGCTAAATATTTTAATCTTAATTAGTTTAAAGAGTCAAAACTCAATTGTACATCTTGTCAAAAAAAAACTTGTACTAGTATTTTATTTACTCATGGTTTGTTCAATCTACTCTTAACGTTGAAGCAGTGAAGCCAAAGGGCGAGCTAAGGCTTAGCTCAAAATAGTTTTGAGCCCTTCTTTTTAATGAAGGATAGATGAGTAATTTCATGTTATTGTTGTTAGTAAATAGCTCTCCAATATCATTGTAACAGGTGTTAGTAGTAAATTGGTTCTGGTGTTTTGTCCTGTAGTTCTTCCTAGGTGAGTCACTAGGGCAAGATCATCCTAGGGATTGTTTCCTTAATATATATATGTAAGGTCATGTACTATGAGAGAATTGAATGGAATAATCACCTTCTAGCCGCCATATCTCTCTCATTCTGATATCACACTTGCTTTCGTTTCCTCTACTTCTTAGCTTTATTTTCATGGTATCAGAGCTACAGGTCGATATTGCAAGTAGAGAGTGAGAGTAAAGATTGCAGCTTTTGTAGAGTGAGTGTTTTCCTTTCAAAGATCAAATCTTTCCTGCAGATTCCTAGTCTATAACTCTTAAAGTTTTAATCTTTCACCTTGAAATGTCGAAAATCTCACTGTCAGACATGCAAAACCCATTATATCTCCATCCTGGAGATGGGCAACACTCAGTGGCAGTGGAGAAGCTGACTGGGGAAAGTAACTATAAAGAGTGGAGGAGATCTATGGAGATCAATTTGGCCTCAAAAAGAAAACTGAGATTTGTTACTAGAGTGATCAAAAAGGATACCACTGATGATCTGAAGGCTGGCCAGTGGGGTACATGTAATAGCATGGCCATAGCTTGGCTTACAAGCAACATGACAGACACAGTAAAGAAGTCTGTAATGTTTCTGGACATAGCATCTAAGATCTGGAAGCAACTTGAAACCAGATTTCTGCAAACAAATGGTGCTAGGAAATATAGGCTGAACAAAGAAGTGTATGAAATCAAGCAAAATGGTGACTCCATCAGTGAGTACTACACCAGAATCAGATCTTTGTGGGCTGAAATAGAGAGCCTGAACATGCTGCCACCCATCTCCAACACGACTCCTGAGATCAATGCATTTGTGAATGCATTGAATATGCAAAAGGAGGAACAACTGCTGTTCCAGTTCCTAAATGGTCTTGATGGTGGATACACAGCACAAAGAAGTCAGATTTTGATGCAATCGCCTTTGCCCAGTGTTGAAACAGCGTGTGCAGCCCTGCAGCAAGAAGAATCTTAGAGAGTCACATTCAATGAGATTGCCACTAAAGGTGAGGTGGAGTCAACTGCTATGTATATCAGAGGACATGATCATCGAGGACCAGAGAATAGGGGTCAGGAGAACCAAGATTCAAGGAACTCAGGTTGCTCTGTGTGTGGCAAGAAGACTCACAATGCTGAGGTATGCTGGAAGGTAGTAGGCTACCCTAAATGGCATCATTTGTACGAGAAGCAGGAAAAGAGTGATGCAGTAGGGAAAGGTAAATGGAGCAAGCAAAAAGAAGGAATGAAAATGGCTGCAAATGCCAAAGGTACAGAAGAATCTGTGGCTATCACTGCACAGCAGCTGGAACAACTACTCAAGCTGGTACCATCTTCTTCTAAAGGAAGCAAATCTGGATATGAGACAGAGGAGGAGATATATGTGAACTTTGCTGGTATGATTTCTTGTTATAATGTCTGTAGTGATAAAGGTGAGTGGATTAATGATTCGGGAGCAACCCACCATATGATAGCAGATGCTAAACTGCTTGATAAATGCATGCCTGTAGTTAGTAGTGTCAAAATTAATTTACCAACTGGAAATAATGCAAAAATAACCAGCAAAGGTAATATTGAGCTGAGTAGTGGTCTGAAGTTACAAAATGTGTTGTGTGTGCCAGAATTTAAACATAATCTGTTATGAGTTGATAAGCTGATAAAAGATAACAATTGTGAAGTGAGATTTCAACCTGAAACTTGCATTGTTCAGGACTGTGAGAATCAAAAGATCAAAGCTGTGGGAAAATGAGAAAATGGACTGTTTTATCTTGTAGACAATTGGAGAAGTCAAGGGCACAAGAAAGTAGATCTGAATAATAAGGAGCAGATGAAGAAAGAGAAGAAGATATGTAATAGTTCTAGTCTAGATTGTTGCACCTTGTGGCATAACAGGCTGGGACATGCTCCCATGAACAAAATTTTTGAAACTGGTTGTGTATCTAAATCTTGCTTGCCTAAAGATTCTGTGTGTTTAACTTGTCCCATGGCTAGATTTACCAAATTACCTTTTTCTGCTAGTAAATCTCATGCAAAACAGGTGTTTGAATTGATCCATATAGATATATGGGGTCCATACAAAATCTGTGCTAAAGGAAAATACAGATATTTCTTGACCATTGTGGATGATAATTCCAGAGCCACTTGGGTTCAGTTGTTAAGACTTAAGTCAGATGCTTACAGTGCTATAACATCCTTTGTGAAACTTGTGAAAACTCAGTTCAATGCAACTGTCAAGATTGTAAGGTCAGACAATGCTCTGGAGTTTGATGATGAGAAGTGTAGAGAATTCTTCGGTGATCTTGGTATTATTCACCAAAAATCATGTGTGGAGAGACCCCAGCAAAACGGGAGAGTAGAAAGAAAGCATAGAAATGTCCTTGAGATGGCTCGAGCCCTCAGATTTCAAGCTGGATTGCCATTGCAATTCTGGGGTGATTATGTCCTAACTGCAGCATATATTATCAACAGACTACCAAACGCTATTTTAAAAACTCAGACACCATATGAGAAAATATTTGGAAAGAAACTAGATTATTCTCACATGAAAGTGTTCGGCTGCTTAGCAATTGCATATAATCCTACACTAAATAGAGACAAATTTGCTCCCATGGGAATTCCATGTGTCTTTTTAGGTTATGCTCATAACCAGAAAGGATATAAATTGCTGAATTTAACTAATCATCAGCAATTTGTATCTAGAGATGTGAAGTTTTATGAAGGAATTTTTCCCTACAATAAGAAGAGATCAATTGTAAAGTGTTTGTCACCAATTCCTATACACATTACAGCTGACCAGGAGATTTTTGAGGAAGAAGAAGAACATAATCATGAAGATATCTCATAACATGGCCAGGAAGCACAGGAAGAGTTTCATGATGAAGTTGTGTATCATGAACAGAATCTGGAATCTGAAGAAGCAACACAAGAGGTTGTAATGATTAGAGGTGAGCAGGAAGATAGTCATGCAACTCAGCAACCTGAGGTAAGAAGATCAGCTAGAGAAAGGAGACCACCAACCTGGACTAAAGACTACAAGGTTGGTCTAGCTAACACTCAACCAACTTGCATTGCTAGCTCAGTATCAACAATAATACAACCTCAATTTGCCTCATTTACGTCACAAATCTCAATGTGTGAAGATCCAGTGACATTCAAAGAAGCTGTGAAAGAAGAAAAATGGAGAATTGCAATGAATGAAGAGCTTGCTGCCCTAGAAAAAAATGGTACATGGGAGATAACTGATCTTCCACCTGGAAAAAGAGCCATTGGAAACAAATGGTTGTTCAAAACTAAGCTAAATCCAGATGGCACTGTTGAGAGACACAAAGACAGAGTGGTTGTTTTAGGATGCAGGCAAAGGCATGGAATAGACGATGCTGAGACTTTTGCCCCAGTTGCTTTGATGAGTACTGTGAGATCCCTTCTTGCAGTTGCTGCCATGGAAAACTAGACAGTGTGGCAAATGGATGTTAAAAATGCATTTTTACATGGGGATCTAGAAAAAGATGTCTACATGACATTGCCTGTTGGGTATACAGGGTGGAATAGTAGGATACAAGCAAGCAATGATGTGAAACAAGAAAATGAGTTGAAGAAAGTGTGCAAATTGAAGAAATCATTATATGCATTGAAACAGGCACCTAGACAATGGTTCTCAAAACTGTCCACTGCTCTCGGGCAATTTGGTTTCTCTCAATCCAAGACAGACTACTCATTGTTCATTAAAGAACATGGTCAATCTATAGCTGTTGTTCTTGTTTATGTAGATGATGGAAACGATCACTCTTTGCTCTCTGAAGTGAAACAGTTCATGTCCTCACAATTTCACATGAAAGATCTAGGAAACATCAGATATTTCTTAGGTCTAGAAGTGGACAGGTCTAAGCAAGGTTTCTTCTTATCTTAGAAGAAATACACTCAAGACTTGATAAAGGAGTTTGGGATGCAGAAGGCCAAACCAATAAGGATACCTATGGATACTCACCTGAAGCTCACTCATGCTACTTTAACAGCATATACAGACAGTGATTGGGGTGGATGTCCAATCACCAGAAGATCAACAACTGGATTCTGTATTCTACTTGGCTCATCCCCAATTTCATGGAAGTCTAAGAAGCAAAATGTTGTTGCTTTGTCATCTGCAGAGGCAGAATACAGGGCCATGGCCTTAACTACATGTGAAGTGACCTGGCTAAGACAACTTCTCAAAGATCTGGGCTTAAGGAACTTGCATTCAGCAGTCATGAAGGTGGACGACAAGGCTGCATTGTCCATTGCAGCTAATCCGGTCCACCATGAGAGAACAAAACATGTGGAATTGGATTGTCATTTTGTAAGAGACAAGGTGCAATCAGGTGAAATCATCCTTCAATATGTACCCTCTCAACGTCAGTTAGCTGACATATTCACCAAACCCATGAGCATGGCTCAAAAGCAACACTTATTTCCCAAACTAGGAATTCTTCCCCATCATTCCTAGTTTGAGGGGGAGTAATGAAGGATAGATGAGTAATTTCATGTTATTGCTGTTAGTAAACAGCTCTCCAATATCATTGTAACAGGTGTTAATAGTAAATTAGTTCTGGTGTTTTGTCCTGTAGTTCTTCCTAGGTGAGTCACTAGGGCAAGATCATCCTAGGGATTGTTTCCTTAATATATATATGTAAGGTCATGTACTCTGAGAGAATTTAATGGAATAATCACCTTCTAGCGGCCATATCTCTCTCATTCTGATATCACACTTGCTTTCGTTTCCTCTGCTTCTTATCTTTGTTTTCACTTTTTGTTATGGAAACTTCGCAATGATGTATAAGAGTATAAGACGCGGTTCAAATCTTATATATATGCTACATGTAAGTATGTAATTACAAATTGTATGAATAATGAACTAGTAAAATTATATATATATTAATGAAACACTGCACTGTTAGTATTAATACTTTCATATAATGCCCATCTGCATGGATTTTATTGAACTGAATTAAGCAAATTTACACAGTTCAGAACCCAGAAAAAAAAAAATTTACAGAGAACCAAATACTAGTATAATTCTTCCTACAACTGTGTAAAACAAGATTTTAAAAAACTAGAAGTTTTTATAGGTGAAAGGACCAGCATCTTTTTTTTACAATTCAAAATCACCTTGTACATTTTTCAGGACAGCTATCCTTTCTGCTAAATCGTCGAATTCTGGCATCCTCGGATGCACATGCCCATCATTGACGTATGAAGAAGATCTTACGTGTCTAATTGAAGTTTTAAGCGATTCAGACTGCTGCTGATCTGGTTGAAGAGATGTACTCTTGTCCGGTTTCCTTTGACTGTCGTTTGCTTCCTTAATTTTTGGAGATGCAGGCTGATCAGGCTCGGAAGAAAAGTATCTTCGTCTACCTGGAGGTAGAGGCAGCTCAGATTTTGGTGTTCCACTATCTTCTTTTCTTAGAGCAGCTGGAGCACTTTCTGGTACCTTTTTTTTACCGAATTGAGTCAAAAACTTATCAAGTTTTGCTTCTTCCTCTGCGTCATCATCATCTAGATCAAGATCGTATCTCCTTGATTCTGTGACCCTTGCACTTAAGCTCCCCCTTGGATCAATCTCATGCTCAGCATTTCTGGTTGTGCTCGCAGTGCTTGTTGATGGCTTTAAGAACTTTGTTCTCACTGATCTTGGTCTAGCTTTAGTTGTGCCAATCACGTCATCAACCTCATTCTTCTGATTATTATCTTCGTCTGTATTATTACTGGATTTGATGTACGGAGCAGGAATGATTCTATTAGTGAACGGCTTTCTATAAGCATTGTTTGGAATTTTTTCTTCTTGCATGCTATTTTCTTCCTGTGATTCCTCTGCAATGTTTTCTTTCAGTCCTGTGCAAGAATTGCGCCTTCTGGATTTAACTGGAAGAGTCTGCTCTTCATTATTCTGTTTGACATTATCAACCTGTTTTCCTTTCACAAGATCTGTGGTAGACTTGTTTCTGAACAATGTTTGGCTATCACTATCCCCATTTACAGAAGCAGTTTTTGCAGGTTTTGCCTGAAAATGATTGGCATTATATGAGAAATAGTGGCCTAGAATTAGCACGTACTCATACATGAAACCTTGTGGTAAACCAACTTACTTGAGTAGGAAGGCTAGGACTTTGCAGTTGCTGCTCCAATTGTACAGGATCCCATGGCACGGAGAATTCTTGTGCTATTTCTTGCATCAATTGCAGCTTCATTTGTGTTGAAGGAGGTCTCGACAATAAGTTCTCCGTGAACTAACCATAACATAAATTTCATACAAACGATCAGGTACGGAATTACAGACAGACCCAATTTACTTAAAGCCATATCAGCAGTAAGGCTATCAAAAATACCTCTTTACTGGTGAATGGCTCTAATGCTTTACCATATTTGTCATAGAATAAATTTCTTAGCTCACGCAATTCAGGCAGATCAGAAAATCTAGCTGCAGCGTGTATCAAAGATGCCACGGCAACTCTGCATTCTTCAGGGCACTCACTGCAGAAAAAGCACTTGATATCAATACAACTGTGGTATGTAACGCTATTCTTAAGCAAACAGATGAACATAAGCACAATATAGAAATGACCTTGCAATTAAGGGAAAAGTCTTAGGCCCTCTTCAGTGTTATCTCTAGATTTAAAGACTTGTACTTTCATAATCCATATAGCACAGTTTATTTAATTTCATTCTGTATATCAAATGTACCGTTTGCAAATCCTATAGCAAGCATAATGTCCCATGGTCTAAACAATTACATGTGGTTTAAATGTTAGGTGAGTTTACAAACTATACCATCTAATCCATTTTCAAAGTTAAAACCTCTATACTCCCTCCATTTGAAATTAGTTGTCATATTGTCTCAACCTTCGTAAACGACGTATAACAAAATGAGGACCACTATTATATTACAACACAAGTGACAATAGACGGCTAAAATTAGTACGAAATATATGCTAGTAATGTTACCATCAGTATCTGTATACTCAAGGAATATTAGATATTCTTCCTCATATAACTAAAATACAAAGAGGGAATTAATTATTCTGGGGTCAAAACAAAATGAAAGGCAGTTGATATGATTGCTACCCACAACTTCAACAACCTATTTGACTTTACAAATTCTCTAAAAAACTAACACCAATTTGACTTTACATATTACTTTATAGCTGAAATACTTGGTAAAACAATTAAAGTTTATGAGTAAACTCTCCTTAATGAAGAGAACACATGCTTGCCAATCACAATCATAACTTGGTAGTTGTAGACATGATATTGAAATATCATAAAAGTCTTCTATCTAAAAAAAAATAGCAGTACCATATTCTACAAAGAAATAGACATTATGATCACAATTCACCAAATGCAAATGATACCTTTGCCTGTGCATTTCCTTGAGATTTTCGATGATGCAGGTGCAACATTGCTCTACGTACCCGTAACACAAGGACAGGTTTAACTCGACATATAGCCCTTCCGCCTACATTAACAGAAATAATATGACACGTAAGTCGTATGTCATGCCTAAATATCATTACGTACGTACGACTAGTACATTTGAATGAAGATCACACCAAGAAATATCCAAAACATTAAGAATTACCATAGATAAAATATTTGCCCATTCGAGACGACTCCATAAAAAAGCTAAAAAGCTCACTCCAGTTTTCTGTAGGAATGTTGATCATATTTTTTATAAGTCGCTCAACATGACATGGGGCATGTTAGCACTCACCATATAACAAGGTGCTTGTATATAAAATTAACAAGCTTGTGCTTAATGAAAGTAAGTTACTATTAATTATCTACCTAAAGTTTATTTTGCATTAAATACAATCATTGAATTGCTGATGATTAGCTCTATTATTCTTAAATGTAGTTAACATTGTTTAGCATACAAATCATTTTCAAAACGTTACAAAAAGAATGGCATGCAAGTTCCATATACCCTTATACAGAATAGAGCATTAATAATGTAGACGAGATTCGAAAGAATAAGAAGATACCCTGCCATAGGCATTACGATCGAGGTTGCTTTTCAAAAGCTCAGCTATATCTTTCTTCAAAAACCTCTGCATTGCATTGCGTCTCTTCTTTATCACCTCTAATCGCGTTTTTGTGCGACTCAACAATGATTTGCTGTTTAACATTCAAAAATCAAAATTAAATTGAAATATCCAGAAACTCAATTCAATTAAAATCTTCATTAACAACTAAACCCAGATTCGCATTAGTTGATACAAGCAACAAAACCCCAGAAAACATGAAAATCTGTAACTACAATCAACAAAGAAAACCCAGAAAAAAATCTTTAACCAGGAATCAGCGAAAACCCAGAAAAATCTTTCACTAGTAATGAATATGAACCCCGAAAAACCCAAAACCACATTGATAAAATCTACACAAAAACCCACAAATTTCAATAGAAATCATTCGAAGAAAAAAAAACAGAGTATCAAAATAATTCTAAAAATCATACCATTTTGTTCTGAAATTACTGCGAAAAATTCCGTCCAACATTTGTTCTGAATAATTTGATATCCTCAGAATATTATAGTATATATAAAAGAAAAAGAAGGAATGAAAAATTCAACCGAATGTGGGAAGTATAATTGGTTGTGTTTAAGCCAATCAAGTCACGGAAAGAATGAGGTAAAATTTTGGATAAGAACAAAATACTACCCAGAAAAATTAATAATCAAGAAAAAGAAAAAATAGGAAAAGAATCTGATAATTGATGAACTGTGACGAAGAAAAAATAACCCAGAAAAATGAAATTTATAGAGAGAGAGAAAGAAAGAAGGAGCAGCTGAGGTGGAGGAGGGATGCCACGTAGGAGAGAGAAAGCTAAATAGAGGGCAAGAGAATCTATTAACAAAGGTGATCTGAATATAAGGGAGTTGGTTTATCACTGTAATAGTCATACAAAAATATACAATATGGTTATAAAAATGATAAAACAGGATGTAAGAAATTAGGACATGGTTGGAGATGATTTGAACTTTTCTAATGTCAAGTTGTTGTGATTGCCTCAACTTGGAGGTTTCAATTTGTAAGGTGTAGTGTGGGACTATATCGATTGGGTTTATGGGTATCATTGGAAAAAAATTGTCACAAGTTTTTTTGAATAGTAATGTGACAACTTATTAGAATGCTTGTATTTAGAAATTTAGAAATAAAAATGGAGTTTGACTTATTATGCAAAAAAATATTCTATTTTTAAAATTATAGTGATTTATATATTGTTAACACAAAACTGAATGTATATATTGCAATTGAGGTCAAGCTAGAATGATTTAGGTTTAAATATCCTAGTTATTATTTCGAACATCTAGAAATGATGGAGTAACAAAAAATAATAAATACAGTAAATAAAATATTATCCAAGTATGTGATTTTAATTTGTGGTGGATTGAGGGAAGTCAAGGAACATATCCTTAACTTAATGGAATTTTATTCATGTATACAATTTTTTTTTCATATTATTAAAATGATATGTTATTGATTGATAATACTTCATATCGGTTGATACAAAGTTATTTATAACACTGATTTTATCACGAATTCCTAAATTGATACAATAAAGAAATACATAGTATGTAGTATAATTTTAAGTTATACTGCTTCACATATAGTGTTGCACATATCATAAGATTCATAACCATTATAATATAATTTCAGTTAGCAAAGAATATTTATTGGTTAAGATAAAGTTGAAGAGGAAAAGGATGAAAAAAAAGATAGGGGAAAGAATATGCAAGGCAAGGAAGCGAAAAGATAGAAATGAGCTGGATGATTGCAAGGCAATGGGTTGTAACAAACTAATTAAGTTATGCTTGATACTTACGTAGCCGGCGGAATAGGGTTGTGGTGGGGGCTCTGCTTCTCTACTTCTCTATCTCTTACTATATGATATGATATACACAAATTATTTATAAACGTCGTCCTACGTTATACTTTTAGATTTGGTCTTCTTGTTCATCATTTTTGCAATTATGCTTCCCTTTTTAATACTACTTGGATTCTTTTTCTTCAACCTAAGCATACAACATAATATATACTTGTTGTTTTATGGTTTATTCTTCCCTTTTTACTAAGGTTTACATTGTGAATATGGATTGGAGTACATACATACATTAAGGTATCTACTTAGGGCTTGTTCTCATTGACTGGACTGAACTGAGTTGAGCTGAACTGAAATGAATATTTTATAAGAGAGGGAAATTAGGAGCTGAACTGAGCTGAACTGAATTGAACTGAACTAAACTGAACTGAATTTCAACGTAAGAGAACAGACCCTTAACATCCAAGTGTAAACTTCTTACCTATTATGCTCTCGATCTACATATAATTAAGTGCATGAATTGAAGGGAGATGTACTACACCTTGGTCTATTATTTATGCATATGTATCATGAATATATTATATATAATGGAAATATCCTTTACATGTTCAAAGCTAGATATATTAAGAATCAAGCTAAGTGATCCAATGCTATTTCCTCTACTCAATTACTTTTCTTAATCGAGACAACCTTTAACTCTTTTGAATGGCTCAAACAAATTAATGAATTAAGATATAGTTGAATAGATGCCTCCAACTAACCCAAGCACTTAGACATATATAGTACCAATACAAGTTAGTATTCTAATCCTTCTCGATATTCTATATATGCAGTATAAATAATAGATTTATAATTCTATATGCACAATAGGCATACATAAAATATTTTTAAAAACATATACGCGGGATTACTGAATGTATACAATATATATGCTTAGATTATGATATACGATGATAATGTTGAAAGTGGTAGCTAGCTAGGTCTTGCAAAATCAATGTACATACAATCCACACTAACTCTTGTCTGTACATCAACTGGCCTTTTTCGTTAAGCATTAGTACACCCTAAAGTTGTCCATATTTGTTGCCAATTGTAACAAAAGTTACTACAATTAGAGACGAAATAAATACTAGAGGAAAGGGGGGTGGGAAGAGAGGAAAACAGCTGTGATATTAATCACATGGAATGTCTTACCTTAATTTCATGTCCAATTACTTGTGTTTTGTTATTGCTTGGTCCACAAGGTTTAATTTTTATACTTGATTCATTGCTTTAATTTTGAATTAGCTAATGCTTGCAATTAAACACAGTCTGAGTTGCTGTACTCAAATGTTTCACTTTATTATAATATAAATGGATAAAACAATCCTCTAATTCATACACCAATAATGTATCACACTATCACGTCTTCCATTTATGAGTGCGGCGAATGTTTGGTTAGGAGAGGTTTGAGACCAAAAAAAAAAAAGATTGTTTGTGGAAAAAAAAAATAGAGGCTTAGGGTAATTGAGGAGAAATGAGTCAAAACCTCTGTTTTCTTATAATAACAACATTTTGACATGTGTAGTATTCATATACTTCCTCCGTTTTTTTTAGTTGTAACAATTTGACTTTTATACTATTTATGTGTTTCACTTTGACTAGCTTTCACGATTTATAGTTATGTAAAAATATAGTCAGGTAGGATCTTGTTAGATTCATCTCAACTTATACAATTTTAATATTTAAGGTCTATAATTTTTATATGGTGGTAACTAAATATATTAACGATTAAAAACACGCATCGGCAAGCTAAGCGTGACAAGAGAATTGTTGCACCTACTAGTATAAAAAAAAAGAGGAAATACTTATTTTGTCTATATTTTTTTTATCAATATATAATAAACATATTTTATGATGTAAAATATTTTGGGATTAGATTTGATGTAAATTAAATCAAACTTTTATACAAGAAACTTCTTAATACTCCCTCCATTTTTAAATATTTGCTCTACTTTTCTTTTTTAACTGTTTTTAAATACTTGATCTACAACATAAATCATATTTTATTAATTTCATAATTTCTCTCCTCCAATTCTCTCTATTACTTTTGCTTTTTGCAATTTTTATTCTTCCACATACCATACTACCTTCATATTTTATTACTTTCTCCAATGTCTCCTAAAACATCGCGCATGGATGGAGCAAATATATAAAAACAGATGAAGTAATATATAATTAAAAATATTAATGGTTAAAGTTGTACATTGGCAATTTGGCATGTGTGTCAGAAAGTATTGCGATTATTATAAAATGGAGAAAATACCTTGTAATAAATGGTAGATTGTGTCTGATTAGAAGAGGTTTGTGGTAACTGGTAAAATGAAAGGTTTAAGGTAAAATAAAAGTTTGAGTCAAACCTTAAACAAAGTGTTTCGTATTTGGTTGCAAAAGGATGTAGGAAAATCTTTGAGTCAAAAAAATACGTAGTAACTAATTTTGAAAATGCGTATATAAAAGAGCATTCCCATCAGTGAGGAGAATTTTGCTCATGAGCAAAATTGATGAGCAAAATTGCAATATTTGCTTCCCCACCAATGAGCAAATCAAAATATGCTCATGAGCATAATGAAATTTGCTCATCCTATGAGCAAAAATGAAAGTGAATAGTGAAATCGTGGGGCCCAGCAATAGTACTAATCGGCTTTTTTTTTGCTTTTGACACCCTCAAAACGACGAGTTTTGGGGTTTGGTCTGAAGAAATGACCCCCAAAACGACGCGTTTTGATGGCAGCCAAGCAAAAAAAAAAAATTAAATGCAGCTGCTGACAGGGGCGCGTCAGTCCAGCGAATGGGAAGCTGACACGCGTCCTTGTCAGCTTGTTCCTCCAATCAAAAAATTCAACCGTTTAGCAACGGTAATTAAATTAAAACGGTAATTTGGCCGTTTTATAATTATTAAAAAAAAAAAAATTCACCAACGATTATATTTTTTTTGCTCTACAAATAGAGAAAGGTTAATTTTTTTTTTTGGTTTATTATTTTTTTTTAATTACTGTTTTTAGTACTTTAATATTTTTTCAAAACGTTATAAATGATATTTTAAGTAGCAATATTTTTTTTAAGTTTAAAAAATCCAAAAAACTCTTTGTTATTTTTACTCCCAAGTTTAGTTAGATTAAATTTTCATTTTCTAATACTCTTTATTTTTTAGTATAACTACTTTTTTTCTCAACAAAAAAAAAATTATTTAATTACTTTTTGTACCACTCAGAAATTATTTAAAACGTTATTAACGTTATTTTATTTTAATTTAGGTGTGTCTCTTAAGTATATATTGTTGTTTTTAATTTATTATACAATATAATGGATCCAAACAACCCTAATTACAATCAACTTGCTCAACATTTTTCTGATTTAGGTGATGATTTTATTAGTAGTCCAAATTTTCAATTATTCCTAGAAAGACTAGGCAACCTTTCTTCTCAAAATTCCGTTTGTTTCGGGGTTTCCTGATGTCCTGCGGGAGAGTTACAATTCCGAGACTGGAACCGGACGCCTGTACCTGCAAAATAACGGAGACTCCTGAGAGCTCCGCCTCCAACGGTCAAGTTAGTACCTGATTAAGGAGTAATTAATACGGAAATTAAAGTAATAAGGTCTCTCTAGGTGAGAGTGCTTAGTGCTGGTAATCTGCTTTGTTAGCGAGATCAGCCGGTTATTACTGTGTGTAATTAATGTATTTTTTGTAATCTTCTCTCTCTTTCTGTCTTGTCTCTGCCTCTTAATGAGGATTAAGAGGAGTATTTATAGTCTTGAGAAGCGTGCCACTCTCTAGGTTTAGGGTAAACCTAGGGCTGACCGGGCTTCTAAACAGGATTGGGCCTTGGTGGCCGGTTTTCCCATTTGGCATGGGTGGACACATGGCGTGTCTCAATTGGTCCGCAGAGGACGTATCTGTGATTGACACGTGGCAGGCTCCTATTGGCCTACGTGAAGGACACGTGGCGGAACTTGGTTGGTCCACTTGTCAGACGGTGATTGGAGGATAAAAATCCCCTAATCATTTGCCCCTCACAGGTGGCACGTGACTGGTCACGTGTCGCCTG